TAATTGACTTTTTGCTAAAAGAACAATGAATAATCATCATATACGTTGAATATTGACTCTATCTTCAATGATATGAGGTCAGAAATTTTTGTTTTTTTTACATTTTGACTTCTGAAAAATACACATAACACATAACAATCATACAAAATATAATTTTTAACATTTACGCATACAAATATTTCAAATAAATCACATTGTAATTTTATTTGAAAAATTTTCAATACTTTGATCTGAATGACATTGATCGAAAGATTTTTTTTAAAAAACAAAACTACGCATTTCATTATGGCTATGCTTCAGGAGTTTAGTGCTGCTTCCGGTGTAAAATAGATTTTAGTGGTTGCGTTAAATTTGGCATGAGGTTCACCAATTTATTTATTAGCGCGCGACGTGATTCTGGTTTGAAAGAATTTATCGAATATGCTATGAAATGAATCTCCCCTTCAGTTTCTCTATATATCATACTTGGGCGAACTGAGTTTGTGCTGACTATCGATTCAGTTGGATGAGCTTACTTTATGCGATCGTTCACACAGACAGATATGAGCATACAAAACCGCAAAAGCTAAGCGAAGTTGGAAAGGCGTACGAGCTAATTTGATGTAATGAAGAATGACTAAGCCATTTATAGACAGAAATAATAGGCTAGACATGTTGTGATGAGCTAAGTAAGCATACACATACACTAGAATAAGACCGACCGACAAGACATTAGCGGATAATTGACAAGGTCGAAAAACGTGTGAATAACTCGAAAAGAATGGATTAATTATTTTGTTCAAAGGCTGAAACAAGCCCTATGAGCTGGACATATATTAGTGTACACACTACAAGATTATGCAGCCTAGCTTCAGTGAATGAATTTTCCAGAGCTTGCCTTACCCGTTGATTCTTGATTTTATTGATATTGTAGTTTAAGCTATATAATTTCATTGACATAAACATTTTAGCAGTTACCAATATTCTTTTGTTTTAGACTGGGCCATCATACGTTTGTTCATAAATTTTAGTGAATATTCTAAGTCGCTTATATTAATTAACTCCTCCTCTTCAATAGCATCACTGCAGCAACAGAGGTTGATACTTTATTTCGGATTCTTAATTTTGTTCTTTTTGTAACTGAAAGCAACAGCATTGTTAAAATTGATGAATTGATTAAGTACTGTCGACTTAATAAACAAACTTCATTTTAACAACCCATTCCATCTTCTTGTTATCAAGGCATCTATAAATGAGATATTGTCATTATGTTCTCCATCAAATGTGAACTTGATTAGTGGATGAAGGATGTTAAACGTTTCAAGTAAATCATTCTTTCTCATTTAATTTGTACACACTAAGAATATGTCGGCTAAGTAGACGAAAGAGATTTCAAACTAGTAATTAAAATGTTAGACAAAATATCTCCAAGTTCCTTCAGGAAATCTCCTACAAGTAGTAGACCCAGTACTGATGATCTCGTAGAAATTCTATCCGGCTTTAAATTAAACTTTTTATTGAATTAGAAATTTTTATTTGTAATGCTCAGGTGATTTATTCCAACTTAGGGATAGATGAATTAATCTAGTTTTCCATTTTTTTTCTGGTCACTTAAACAGTTTACTGACATGTAGCCTTGAACTATTTTACACATCTAAGCAATTACATAGTTGTATCCCTATCAAGCTTGTAAATGTCAAGTCACGTTTAATTGAATTGAGTAAACGCTGTTGCATTTTTCCACTATCATCTATTATCGTCTATCGGAATTATTGGTAGCATTAAAACAAATGTGTCTAAAACATTTTGTATTTCACATATTTCATTACTCACTAATAAAATTTAGTCAAATATACATACGAAGCTAGTTGAGGGCCAATATTTCATCGTTTCTCATCAATTTCTTATCGATTGAGTCTTCAATGTGTGTATTAAACTTCATTGCTTGTTCAACTTATGGATTAAAACTGTCATTTTTTTCGGTTGAAAACAAGAATTCCTGTTTCTATCTTTACTTTGCTAAGTTCACTATTCATAAAATCGAGTTTCGAGTTAATGAATGAAGATGATATGTTTACAGATACCATGAATTCCTATTTTATTTTTTTTAAATCGTTTGCATTTTTCTTAGAAATTTTTTTTTACATAACAATCTGAGTCGTGGATGCGCACTGCTGATGAGTTCCATACCAGGACGAAACGACCGTCCAATGCTTTTAGTTTTCTAATGGTAGTCTAACAATGATTGATTGATGATTTCAAATGTGTAAAAACAGTAATTTCCAAAGCTCTAAGTGAAAATAATACTTAAATTTTTTCAATTACAGTTATGGAGATTAGCGTTTTTACACATTTGAAATCATCAATCAATCATCGTTAGACCACCATTAGAAACCTGGAAGCACTGAAAGACGGCCGTTTTGTCCTGGTAAGGGACCCATTAGCAGTGCGCATCCACGACTGCTGCATTTCGCAGGGTTCGAACCCGGGACCTCCGGTATTGTGCGCGAACGCCTATCCATTGGACCACTGGGCCGGGGTCCAACGGTGTTAAGTATCTCGTTGTAGCATGATAACCTCATTAACTTTAAGTCGCTTGAGATCATTGTACAGTACAGTTGACTATCATAAACAAATTGTAATTTGTAATTTTAAAAATATCAGAGGAAAAATGTCGTTTTAAAACTACACAAAAATGAATACGAATTTTCATCGTTTATTTATTGATTTGAAAATTAATATTATTATTCTCATAACAAAAAATACCTTCAAAATATTTGTTGTAACGATTCGTTTTTAAACTGAATTTACACACATTAATTTTTTCTAATAAATATCTATATTAGAAATTGATTATAGTCAACTGTTTTTCTGAGAACTACTTACTGAACAACTACATCTAGACTTTGATCAGTTTAAAAAAAATAGTATTTACCTCAATCGAAGAAACATTTATCACAATTTATTATTATTTCTAAATGCTAAAGGCTAAAATATAATGGTATCGTTTATGATCGTAATTATAGTAATAATAATGATAATAACGATCACTGACGACAATGTTCACTCAATATAACAGGATGAGTTGATTATGAATAGATATTGACCAGTGGAACGAGATTTATTCAGCAGTAGGGTTTATATGATATGTCAACTACGACCGTTTTTAATACTTAAGAGCTTTAAACATGTTTCAATCAGTTGTTCAGTCTTTTTTTTGGCGTTTAGTAGTTCTTGTGTAGACAGGAAATAGAGATTAAAAAAAATTAGTACCTATAGATACATATATACAGATTAATAAATCTCATTCCACTAGTCAACATTTTCATAAACAACTCATTCCGTTATATGAAGAGTGAACAAAATTCAACATTGTCGTTAATGAGCTGTTATGAATACGAATATTATTATTTAAGATTAATTGGGGGAAGTATTCAATGTATTCTGAAGGCAGCTTTCATCATAAATTGATGAAATCTAGTGAACCAATTACACAGAGTTTAAAGTTTTGAATAAATCAATCTGTCGCAATCCATAAACTCAATGTTATCAAGCTTAGTCATGTATTATGGATTCTTTTTTTAACAGACCTATATATTAAACTATGTTTAATTTATTGAAAATATTCGCCATTCATTAGAGATTAGCTGAATTTACTTTTTACGGGTGGTTTAATTGTCTATGATAAATATTTCTGAATAAGTTTAGTGAAGATCAATAATAAAAGAAAACACTTCACCACCATGGAATTCACAATTGACAGCATGTGTTGAACAATAACTGATGACTAAACCTCTTCGGCTTGGAAGCAACCGATTTTGAAGTTAAATTGTCAAAAGAATATTTACTAGTCAGCTGGATACCTAGACATTTCCGGACATGATTAAAGTTTTTTTAAACACAAATAAAACAATTTCGCTTAAGTAAACTTATTTAATTGAAGTTCTAGACATTGTTCTCAGAAAGTTAGATTACTTTCTTTTTGTATGTATACAGTGTTCGTACTAAATGATAATAGCCTTGTACATTCAAACAGCGAATGTAATTTGATGTTAAGTGCTGTCAGTTTTCATAGTGTATATTGAACAGTCCTGAGAATTACTAGTTAGTATATGGAACTCAACTGAAATACTCTTACTTTTCACATGATATTCTTTCAAAAAATGGCAATAACACAGTGATAATGATCTATCCAGTTGTGAAGTGAAACTGAGTCAAAAGTCAACAATATAGAAATTCAAGTTAACAATCAAGTATCACAATCATATACACAAGAATGTATGCATATGTAATCATTTGCCTTTATGTCCTTGAATTTATACAAACATTTTATATCGCCTCAATTCGAGAGATAAATTTTAGAAATCAGGAAAAACAAGACTGGTAATTCATTTAAACCTGAAATGTTTCAAGTGATATACTGGCAAACTTAAAAAAAAGGAAAGAATGTATATAAGATTAAGTCTGCCGAAAGTAGGTCAATACCATCTTTTCATTGCATTGGAATTCAATGAACTGTGGCCTGTTTTCAAAACAATGAGACTAATACTATATAACTATTTCCTAAATTTAAGTTTTAAAGCATACGTTTCTTGATTCATCAGTCACAGATTATAAAACAATGATCTATGAATAATGAATATCTATCAAAAAGTTCAATGAGAATAGGTATTTAAGACGAAACAGTTAATCAACTGTTCTGATATGTGGAAATAACTAATATAAGTCAATGGTTGACACAGTTAGATCAGAGGTATTAAGTTTTGCCTAAACTACTGAATAAACATGCTCAGGGATATCACTCATTGATAGCTTGGTATTGAAATTGAAGTATAGCCTAATAAAAAAGTCAACTGGTTTTTATGCCTGTTGTAACCTTACCATAAACGAAATCAATAATTCTGATTCACATTCCTGTGATACTGTACAGACAAAAAACCCATCATTATTATAATCATAGGTGAACTTCGAGAAACCCAGCTTATGTTAATTTATTCTAAACAAAAACAAAAAAAGAGACTAGAACAATCATATTGAATTCCATGGTCTTGAGACACAATATGTATATTTGAAATGACATAAGATTATTACAGAAAATCAATTATTTTGAAAATGAAGCATATATAAGAGGTCAAAGGAGTAAGTAACATAAAAATGCTTTTACACTTTTATGCAATTACACAATAACAACAACAACAACAAAACTCATTACAGCCAATCAAAATAAAAACGAAAAGTTTGAATACTTTAATTAAAAAAGACTGCAAAATAGATAGAACTAACTTGAAAAAGTAAAACAAGTATGCACTCACATCAATACACACAAACACATATATTTGCACATGTGGCGGTTAAGGTTAGTGAAACGAAAAAAAATTGATTCAATTTCTTTTTTATTGCGAAGAAATAATATTATCAAAGAAAGTTGTGTCCACTGTTTTAACTGATTTTTCCACTTTTCATTCATTCTGATAACAACGAACCAATTGATGGCTGTTTTCTTTTCTTTTGAACGAAATTTTAATACAATTGTTGAGTGCATACTTATTGATCAAAACAAATAAAAGACAAAAGATCTCTTCTTTCCACAATTTCATTTCAATTTTGTACATACAGGTGTGTTATTATCTTATTGCAAGAGAAATGGATTCATTTAAGAGTAAAGTTCATTATTCCATTTCTTAAGTTTGCAAACCAAATAAATGGAGAGCACAATAGTAGCAAGCTGAAAATAATAAAAAAATTCAGTAGTGAAATCTGTTTTTTAATACAAACAAAGAGAAAATTTCTTTTTTAAAAAAAAAAGTCGTCTAAATCTGTTAGGTTATTCATCCAATAACTTTAGAGAATTATCGGTCAATTCCTTATTGATTAATTTCTACTGGTCAATTTTATGATGATCGTTCTAGATATCAATGTAACATGCTCCACTGTTGTTGTTTCTTATTGGTCGTCCTGAATTTCACTGTCACTTCAAATGTTGTTTCTTATTGGTAGTCTTAACTGTCAATTTCATAGACTTCGATGATGTTTCCTATTCAACCTAACTACATAAATACGCATGATCTATAACGTTCTATGACCAGGACTCGGACTCAGATCCCTAGTGTGGGGTCCTGATTCGCTTCTGGACTCGAACCTCGTACTTTCTGAATGCTTGTAGAATACAGGTTCTACTCCATATCAAGTCTTCTTCTTTCATTCAATGGGGGTTGGGATAATCGGATTAGAGTAGCATGTCGTGTTGCCGGATCCTCGATCGTCGCTCTCGTTTTGCGATTATGGTAAACTCGTAATAGTTCAAGCATATCAAATGACATGTTTACGTAAGGTGTAACAAAGTCTGAAAAAACAAATGCACATTAGTCAATCTAGTTGTAGAGCTGGCGAAATCACTGAATGGTCCGTGTTGTCCTAGTGCGTCCTAGTATCCAGTAATTTGAGGTTTTTAATCATAGTCGAACATAGATCGGTTCATGATTTCAATAACATTGAATCACTTCCACAACCTCATACTGATAACTGTTGACTATGATTAGATAACCTGTTCAGTGCATATGTTAACCAGTGAACCTTATGTTTGTTGACTATACTTCTTTAAAATAAAAGCTTGAATTGGATTGTTCAATGAAATGTATTATAAACTTTAAAATAAAATTATCCAGATTTGTGTCAGTCTAATTTTTGCTTTTAAATATTTATCGCACAACAACTTTTTTAATCATAGAATATAAACAAGTTCATCACTGAATAGTAGTACTTAATTAAAACTATAACTATTCAACTATAATTTTTGTATAAAAAAATAATTTCACATAATGAACTTTAAAAATATAATTTAATCATTCAATAAAATAAACAATTTTATAACTTATCAAAATATGTCTATCATTGTCATTTACATTGTCACATTGTCAATGAATACAAAAACTGAGATTAACTTGATTTTTGATTAACATATTATCATTTTATTCAACCTTATTATTAAAAACATAAACACTCAAAATTTCAGAAATATATTACAAAACTAGGCCCTAATCCAAGTGAATGCTGGGGATCTTACCTGTAATGCAACGATTATACTTGGAATAGCTAGGTATGGTAGACCTTTCTCTTGCATTCTAGTTTTTGCTGCAACTAAACAACCAACCGTATTTGATTCTTCTAGTGTTTTGACACAACTTTGATCTACCAGGTTATTTTGAAAAGCATTGTAATCACCTACAAATTTGTTTATTTTGTTTATTTTTTAAAGAAAAAAGAAAAAAACAAATTAGTTTTTGTTAATTTTATATTTTCAGCTTGTTTAAAACCATAATTCAATATGTCTACCGTATTATTATTATGCGTGGAGTAAAAATTATTGCCAGATAGATAATTTGTAGCTTAGTTTTTTTGAAATGCTCAGTCAGTAAAACAATAATCCTTAAAGTTGACCGAGTGAATTATGAGATAAAACAACAACAACAACACAGGATTGAACTACATTTAAAATTGTGAAAAACTGTTATACTTTTTGGTACAACTGTAACAAACTGGTCTTGGATGTAGGATATTGTACGAAATGATAAGTGTGTATACTGTTGATAAGCCTCAATTATTTTTAAATGCGTTTTTATTGAAGATTAGTGTGTGGTGTGAAAATTATTATCGAACAATTTTTTTCGATCGATTCTGTCATTATTATTATAAAATGGATAGATTCTCATAAATGGACTAACTGAGATTCACACTTATAAATTATGATACCTTGTATATTGGTTCAAAAAGCAAAATTATTCAGTACACATTAGTTAGTGTCTGTTACTTGTGAACTTAGTAACTTGTTATTCAGACCAACGTTAAAAACCTTTCTATTATATGGAGTGGAAAGTAGGCGAAATATAAAAGTCATCGTCAATGAGATATAGGTGTTTATTAACAGTTTTCTATACAAGATACTGTGCATTCATCGACCAGACACCACATCTCACAACCTACAGTTTGAGGGAGAACAGACCAGATTGCAGCTGAATAATAAATTAGAGAAAAGCGTTGGAGGTGGATAGGACACACATTGTGGAGATCACCCAACTGTATCATGAGGTTTGCCCTAACTTGGAGCCCTCAAGACCAAACGAAAAGAAAATTGAAGAAAGAGATGAAAAGAATGAATAGCATTTGGGAACAATGGAAAAAATAGAGCGCAGGATAGAGTAAGTTGGAGAATGCTTGTCTGGTGGTCTACGACGCTCCATCAGGGGTAACAGGCGTAAATACGTGAGTTAAACTTTCAAATGTTTCAGAAAAAAATCAAATCTTTTCATTGATATTTCATATGTGTATACACTACTACTCAGAATTATTTTGTTCAGTTGAGCAGTATTTAGTGAAACTAATAATTTAATAATAAATTGTAAATCCAAAGTTTCAAATGCAGATAGTTGAATCATCATGTTATAGATGATATGTTTCATACGACCAAAATGTGTAATCATCTTCATTTTCTCCATTGATTTTTAAAAAATCTCAATTCAAATCTATTTTATAAACTTTTTTATAATTGTTCATAAGATTAATAATAATACGCGATGATTTAACAAGTGAAATTAATAAACGAAGAAAAGGCGGGAATCAATTTACCTTTGCTCATGAAATCTTTTGAAGTATATTTACAGCAAGCTGGTGGAATTTTTATGTCATCTGGACCACTTCCGTCAGTATATTTTCGACCTTCCTTATACCAAAGTGACTCTGTATCAGAAAAATCGCCATTACCAATCACTCCACAACATTCAAGCTGAATAAGTTAGAATTACAAAATATTATTTACATATATATATATATATATATATATATATATCTAGTAAAAAATCATAAATTCTAACAATTTATTTGTACAACAGTCAACACAACAAACGATGATGAATTATTATGATCTTTTTCTGAATAATTATGTGACGTTAATATTCTCACTTTTAAATGCTCTTCTATATAGGGATTGGACAACTGATGATAAGAAATTTATCAACGCTTGTGAAGTAGTTATGAACATTTCATGAGATCCCAAATAAAAATTATCAAAATAATTTTCCATGAATGATAAGTTCAACAACTTTCACAAACAAACTAACTAACTATTACAAAATTTCGAATGGTTGTGTTAAGAAAAAAATTTCGAATTTTACTCACTGAAATCATCATTCTATCCATGTTCAATGAGTATGCATCGAATTCGGAAACAGGGAATGCACCGAGTGTCCCACGGTAATTCATTTGAAAACGTTTTTTAAGCATAGTCACCTGATCTTCCATCCACTAAATCAATAGAAAAGAGAAAAAACACACTGTTACATCAGTAAACAACAGTTATAAAAAATAGAATCTATCAAATTGGATTTTTTTGCATTGAAAGGTGTTTAGTATTTCAAGTGAATCACTTTAAGCAAACAGTGTTAAATCTTGATTTAATTGATTATTTATTGGTAAAACAATTATGTCTATTTGTATTGGCTGTTAATCTACATCATCATTTATAAATTAAAGAAAGATTGTGCAATTCATATACGAACGGTTTTACTGTGGAATCGATAACCAAGGCGGTGGGGTGATAGCATACAGCATTTCAACAGTTAACAGCTAACACAAGATGATGATGATGATGAAGCGAATTCATTGACATTCAATTACAAACGGTAAAAGTCTTTAGACAAAAGTTGAATTAGAAATAAAGTAATCATTATGGTTAATGTTCTTAGTTACGGCAGGATAATTAATAAAAACTAAGTAATTTCATGATTGTTTTAATACAAACAAATATCTATCAGTAGGAAAAGATTTGTCAGGTCATAATCGATTCATAGAAATATATTTAAACGATAAGCTTACAAATGAAGAGGAATATAAAGAAAGAAGTAGTGCTTACTAAGTCAGTCAGTCAATCAGTCATTTACAACGTATGACTTTGTACATGCGTACATCAGTTCAGGTTGTCATACTACATTAGCACAGAGACGCATTTGTCAATTCAACTCCCATAGTGGTAGCTATAGTAGAATTATTAGCAGTCAGTAATGGAGAAGATTAGGGTTTGAAGATATTATTCAAGGAGTATGATCCAGTGAGATAAGTTTATAAAGCAGAAGATAGAGATGATGGGGAATTCAGAAGGTTAGAATTTGAGAGGACACAAAGAGTGGATGCACCTACGCCATTGCAAACGATTTTGAGCCATGTCATTCAAGGTCTCTAATCATCGGTGGCTCTCATCTCACGGACCTCAACCAGGTAGTTTACATCTACCAACATGACTCAGTCCACTTGTCAGTGCCTTCATGGATTTCTGCCATGTTTTGGTTTTTCCACCCCTAGCTTTCTTCCAAACTATTCCTAATGTTTACGGCAATTTAGAACGATTAGATAAATGAGTATTTCAAAGAGCACATATTACTTTCTAATATTATGTAAACATTTTATTGATTAAAACAAATGTTTTTGATAATCTGTCTATATTCCTAGTATGGAAAGAATAAATGGTTTTTGGAGAAAAAAACTATTTGTTTTCTTCATTTTCAGTAAAATTACAATTAATCCTTCCTCGAGTTACAACTGTACTGATCTATTGATCATGATAATGATATAAAGTTGGATAATTTTAGGATATTTAAACAAAATCAGTATACTTTTCATGTTTTATGAGTGTTTGAATAAAGTATTTACAACTTAGACAATGTTGTCAGATATAAACGAGATGATCCAGAGTTGTTTTTTTTCTAAGTTAAAATGCAAACATAAATATCTTTCAGTTGTGAGCTCATAGTATGATATATCATAATTAATGAAATCTGATGAGAAAAACTATTTCACATTACTAAAAGTATAGTAGCAAATGATCGAACAGAGTTTTCAACTAAAACTTTATATATCTATATATATTCAATGTCAACAGTTATTGTTTTCGTTTATTTTTGAGAAAAGTGGAACATTTTCATTTCATACTATTGATCATTATGTTAACATAGTTGTCATCTGACAGTAACACCAATGACTTTGTTTATATGATATGACACTCTAAATAGTGATTTCATAAGTGAACTTTCTCAGTGTCTTGATCATCTTTTTATGTAATAACAAGATATTTATTATGAATAACTAATAGTAATCAAAGAGAACTGGATAAGGATTTAGTTAGCTATTCTAGACTTATGGAAAACTGATATCTTATACTTCATGGGTATTAACCTTGAATTATCGTTTACAATGGATCACTACTGTCTTAACTTGCTATCAGTTAATCGATGATAACGGAAAGTTTGTTCGTGTATAAACCAGATAATATGTAGAAAACATTATATCTCTATAAAAACCATTGATGGTCTGGTTTATCATCCAAGTATCTGATTGAATGTCAATATCTCATTTTAAAGATATCAAGTAAAAATGTAAATATGCCCTAAGCCTATCTAACTTGGTATTTATGTTTAAAAAAAAAAGAAAGCCTCGAAAATAATTTCAGCTTCATACGATATTCTTTAAATAATGTGAAGTCAAATCAAGTACTTTGTCTGCCACTTACAGACAGTATTCTAAATAAACTCATCTGCTATGAGCACTTTAACCCGCATATAAAAATATTCATTATGTTAGAATTTTACAAATCTACACATGATTATTACATCAGTAAATTTTTTCTAAAAATTTAAACATCTTCGTAGTTGTTTAACTAAACAAATATTCAATAAAATATGTAAAACTGGAACTTGTTTAAAAATACAATTAATATATAACTTACATGAATTTTTTACTCAATATCATCCATCCAGTAATAATTATTCATTAGAAAACTTTCATTATTATACATTTACGAATTATTTGGTCATTCAGTGAAGTTAAAAGTAACGAGTAATGAGATAAATTAACTAATTAGATTGATTAGAATAATCTTGTTTGAATGACTTTAATTCCCAAACAAATCAGTGATAAGAATTGAAAAAAACATTATTTACATTTGTGTTAGGAGACGTTACAACCGCAGAACTCACTTGAAAACGGTCCTAATTTTGTAATTTTATTCTGAAATTTTGAATTTGTATGTTTTCGCGCCAAAGTCACTTAGTTGACCTTCAGCTGCAAGCATATCAAGTTGAGAACGATACATTACTGAAAATGTCAAAATAGATTTTATGACATGAAAGGAATAAATGTTGATAACCCTTTAACCTTCAGTGGTACTTCAGTTTAGAATATTTTGATCTAAGAATTAAATGTTGTGTAACTAAGCTGTCAAAATCTTTCATACATTAAGGCAACCTAAAACAATCCAGTCAGCTGTCGTCATAAAAATCAAGCTATTGTGAGTTTTATAGTTGAAGTGAACGAGCATTACATGTAACTGACAATGTGAAAAAAAACATTTCTACCTTTCTACAAAATGAAATTAGGGATTCGGTTAATAAAGAATGATAAAAATCAATAGATATGTAAATTTAGGTGCCGTTGACGAGAATATGTGATTTTGCAACTGCTTCAACTTACCAAACTTAACAACCTAGTCATTGTTTTGTTACAATATGGTACAAATTTTTGTTTTGTTAGCACAGATTAATTTGCATAATCAAACTCAGAATTAGTTTGAATAAAAGTCACTTTGTTTCAAGCAATAATGATAATAATAATAATAATAATCAGGTAATTTATATTTATCACCACTGGGAATGGTAAAACCATTATTGTTATTCTTATTTTTTTCAAGTGATAAGAATGAATCGAACTAGCTTAGAAAAAATATGCCAGTTATAGTTTGTCAATCAAAAAGTCAACTATAAACTATATGATAGTTTATTTCCTTATTTAGAAATAGTCTAAAGTTACACTGCTTCAAAAAGAGAAATGAAAAAAAGTAGTTCATGGTATTAAATATTGATACTTATCAATCTGTTCAAAGCGTTCAATAGTATTTCATTATATAAAGGTTTGAATTTGTTCACTGTTATTGCTTGAAACTGTGTTAGATGCCTGTTCGATGTCATAGTACTGTCTTTACTCAAAATATTTGAATATAATGGGGAAAATCAATTGTATCAGAAGTAGATCACATATTTAGGGAATCGATTTCAAACATTAAGTCTACACATTAACTAGTAATGATTCTTATAAATATCGGTAATATCAAGGTGATCTTTCAACGAGATTATAAATAATTTAACGAAGACTTCCATTTCAGTTTTGACCATTATTCATCATGGCTTTGTTTTCCATTTGTCTCGACTGATTTGATATCAGAATATTAGCAGATAATTTAGCCATAAATTCTAAAACTCAAAGGTTTGTTAAATTCAATTTCAGAATTAAAATGTCACGGTTAGCATTACTGTTACAAAGCTAATTTAATTGATTTCAAAGAAAAAAAACAGTCAGTAATAGATTTTTAATTTCATGCGAAAATAGATAGCCCGTTGAAATCTTCTTTATTTTCAAGTAACAAGAGTTTGAAGATAACTTTCTCTCACTCACATATATTACCATTGAGAAGCTGATCCATGCAAATTTCAAATTTCTCATCAGTGTATACTTTCTACTGATTACGAATCATTGAGAATTGAACAGTTTCAGGTCTCAGTGGGAAGTAGAAAAGCACTCCACACTTTAAACATTAGTGAATTCATGTTAGGAAGTAATTTTCAATCAGTATAACACAATGATCGTTTACAACCTCATCCTCAAGATTGTCAACTGTCAACAGTCTAAACATCTCACTAGAAATTTCACAAATTCATTACAACAACTATATACCAGTGTGTTGTATAAGGTTATCGTTTATTAAGTTGTATTTTAGCATGATAATTTGATTTAACTAACATTGATAAAAGAAATAAACTTGTGAAATTTTACAAAATTGATTTAACAATTTGTATTTTGCGTATTCCTTAAAAAATATTATAATTATTTCAAGCAACATTTAGAATTTTATACTAATTGTATTTTATTTCTGTTAATTCAATTGAATTTTAGATCATTGGATTGGCATTAGCAGCTATTGGTGCATGGGCTGCAGCAGATGATCAAGGCTTTATCAATACCATTCACTTCTTTTCATCATATAATACATATGAATTGCAATTATATCAAGGAACTTCGTTGTTACGTTATTTCAGTTATGGTGTCATTATCATGGGCTCATTGTTAGTTGTCATCGCATTTGTTGGTTGTTGGGGTTTAGTAACTGAAAATCGACGATTACTTTTGGCAGTAAGTTTATGGATTAGTATACTTATACTTATTATTATTAATACCATTATTATTGTATAAAACTTTGATCA